GAGCGGGGGCGCGTGCCGCGAGAGGCCCCGTGCGCGCGCAGGCGAGGCCATGAGCGTGCGTGAGCGCGCACCCCGCGGGGGCTCCTGCTGAAGGAGCCAGGCCGGGCAGCGACTGCGCATGCTGGGAAGGCCGTCCGCTCCCGCACTCCCGCGCAGGCTCAGACCCCCAGCCAAGGAGAGGAGCGGGATGGGGCGGGGCAGGAGGGAGGGATCGGGAGATCCTAGAAAACGGGTCACAGGTCAGGGAAACCTCTCTTAGACCGCCCTGGCATTAGGCTTCTGCTTTGTACGCAGTAGCGCCTTACATTTGCAGGCATGTCCACACCTGGCTACGAGAGGTTTATGGGTGTCCTCCCAAATCAATCACGCTTCTGCATTTGGACTCCAGGCAGGGCCTTCTCAGATGGAAGTGGCCCAGTAGTCATGCCCTTGGCAACAAGCAGGCCTTGCCTGTGCCTGGAATAGACTGTGAGAGGTGGCGGGAGATACAGCTGTAGGGTTGGTCAGGAACCCTGGGGCTCAGACAGAGACCCCAAATCCTTGCTGCCACAGGTATTTGCAGGCTTCCCAAGAGCTCCATTTTTTAGGTTTTCTCATATTTTGAAATGATGAACCCAAATGACCAGAAGGTTCTGCATGAGGCATCATTCTTCCTGCACAAAAATGTTTAACAGAAAACATGTTTTACGTGTCTGAGAATAATTTGCCCACCTTAACAAGTGCAGACTACCTCATACTCATGAAAGAGAGGTGCATCAAGGAGGTGGATTATATTGCAATAAAAAATATAATGTACACTCAACCCAGATTTCCATGGCTGGTTTGTAGAGGAACACACAATACAAATTCTATGGGAGATTTAGCATGGTTCCTGAGAGTATCTGCCGTCAAAACAGCCACACTAACTCAGTCGTGGCTGATGTTAAGGATACCTTCTGTGAAAGAGTAAAAAATAGAGTCAGTGAAGCTTGGAAAAGCCTGCCAAGGTCAGTTGTTACAAGAGTAATTATTACCTCCAACAAGTTGCACATGGTCCCGGGTCAGTGAGGTCATTGTATAAACAGGATGCAAATATGAGGAAGAGGAGAAACTGGTTAAGGAAACGAGCTATCATAACAATGTGTGTGTGGGCAGAGAGGGGAGTGGACAGGAATATGGGTGTGCAGGTGAAAGGAGGTTAGGGTCAGACTGAGCAAGGTGTTGGTTATAAAGGCAGACTCTGCACAGTGAGTCTCAATACTGGTGGCTCATTTGCATTACCTAGAGAGCTTAAAAAATAACTGTGAATACCTGTGCCTAATCCCGGCTATTCTGAGTCATTTGGCCATTGGTTATTGGGTGAGGGCTCAGCATTTTTTAAAGCTTCTTTGGTGGTTCTAATATGAAGCAAACGTTGAGAGCCAGTGCCCCTACCACGATGAACTTGAACCCAACTTCTGAAAGGAGCTTTCTCCTTTCCTGGGCACTTTTACAGTCCCCAGTCTGATTCCTACTGTTGTAGCAGCAGGGAAAGAATACTGAAAACTTCAAGCCCAGTAGGCACACTCAACTTCAAAAGGTCTTGACCATGTATAATTACTCAGTAAAGGGGTCAGAAATTTCAATGTTCAGCCCAACGGGAGCACTGCTAAGCATCATAGATAATTTGGTGAGTTAATATATGATATTTACAGGTGACACCTATCAGCTTAAAATAACTCACCATTTCACAATTTGGTACTTTTTTGGAATATCTTTTAGGCCCTTTAGCAAAAAATAAACTACCTAAATGTAAAGATAAATATGAATATTCAAAAATGTAATTAATAGGTAAATTAACATAGCTCATAACTAGATCCTTGCTACTCAAATTGTGGTCTGTGATATAGAACGACAAATCATCCCAGTTTGCCAAGGACTGAGACGTTTCCCTGCGTTCAGGATTTTTTTCCTAAAACTGGAAACTGGAAAAGTCTTGGGCAAATCAGGACAAGCTGGTCACCCAGTCCCTGAATTAGCAGCAATGACCTTTACTGGGAGAGTTTGTTGAAAATGCAGAACCTTAAGCACCACCCCAAGCCCCTGTTAACAAGATCCCCAGGGTATTCAAATGCACAGTAATGTCTGTCTGTCATGGATTGAATTGTGTCGCCCCAAAAGATATGTTGAGGTCCTAACCCCAGTACCTCAGAATGTGACCTTATTTGGAAATAGGGTTATTGCAGATATAATTATTTAACTTAAGACAAGGTCATACTGGAGTGGTGTGAGCCCTTAATCCAAGGACTTTTAAGGACTAGTGTCCTTAAAAGGAGAAATACACAGAGAGAGGGCCATATGAAGACACAGAGACATACAGGGAGAAGGCCATATGACAACAGAAGCAGAGATTAGAGTGATGCAACTGCAAGCCGAAGAATGCCAAGGATGACGGTCACCTCCAAAAGCTAGGAAGAGGCGAGGAAGGATTCTACCCAGAGTCTCAGAAAGAACATGCCTCTGCTGACACTTCGATTTCAGACCCCTAACCTCCAGATCTGTGAGAGAATAATTTTTTTTTTTTTTTAAAAGATGACCGGTAAGGGGATCTTAACCCTTGACTTGGTGTTGTCAGCACCACGCTCACCCAGTGAGCCAACCGGCCATCCCTATATGGGATCCGAACCTGCGGCCCTGGTGCTATCAGCACCGCACTCTCCCGAGTGAGCCACGGGCCGGCCCGAGAATAAATTTCTGTTGTTTTAAGCCACCTACTTTGTGGTACTTTGTGACAACAGCCACAGGAAACTAAGACATGTCTAAGACTCACTACCATATCACGCAGCAATTCTACTCCTAGGTATATATTCAAAAGTGTTTAAACAATAACTTGCACAGGAATGTTCATGGCAGTACTATTCACAATAGCCAAAAGGTGCAAAGAACCTAAATATTCATCAGCTGACAAATGGATAATCAAAATGTGGTGTACCTATATAATGGAATACCGTTCAGCCATAAAAAGGAATGAGGTACTGGTACATGCTACAACATTGATGAACCTTGAAAATGTTACACTAAGTGAAAGAAGGCCATATATTGTCATTTGTATGAATTGTCCAGAATAAGCAAATCCATACAGACAGAAAGCAGGTTAGTGGTTGCCAAGGACTAGGGAAAGGGGAGAATGGGGAGTTTATGCCTAACGGGAATGGGGTTTCTTCTCAGGGTGATGAATAAGTTCTGGAGCCAGACAGTGGTGATGTTTGTACAACATCATGAATGTACTTAATGACACTGAATCGTACACTTTAAAATGGATAAAGTGGTAAATTTTATGTGTATTTTACCAAACACAGAAATAATATATACCACAAGTCCAAGGGTCCTACAGCCTGAAGAAATGGTGCACTTGGGGAACCAAAAGAGGGTGAGCAAGGCTCAATAGTAGGAGGCTAAGAAATTGTACAGGAGGCTGGAGAGGACAGCCCATCCAGATGGTTTTAGGTGATATTAAGAATTGTAATCTTTTTGCCTAAAAGCAAGGGAAGCTTTTGCTTTTTATTTGCTTTACATTCAGCAAGTACTTCAAGAAGAACTGGACTGTCATGAAAGCACCTGGTGTCTGCTCCTACTGTCACCCCCTCAATCTGTTGTTCACATAGCAACAATAGTGATCTTGTTCAAACACAAACCATATTATGACACTCCCTTGCTTAAAACCTTCCAGTGGCTTCCCATCATCACACTTGGAGTCAGATTTCAACTCTTTACCCTGGAACAGAAAGCATACATGAGCTTGCCCCAACTTTCTCTCCCTTTGGCCCTGTGCTTCAGCTGCTCTGGCCTTCTGTTCTTCAAACAAGTGGTCTTCATTCCACCTTAGAGCCTTCACACTGGCTTGTCCTCTCTTTGGAATGCTTTGCCCTCTAAATTCTAAATGGTCGGTCCCTTCCTTCCTGTCATTCATGTCCCAGTATAGGTGTCATCTCCTCAGAAAGGCCATTTCAGACGAAAATAGCCACCCACTCACTATCTATTAGATAATCCTCTGTATAGCACTTATCTAATCTTTTCTTATTTATGTGCTTGTTTTCTTGGTTTTTTCCTTGTTTTGTTTTGTTTGCCTGTGTCTCCTGCTAAAATGTAAGCTCTGCAGGGGAAGATATTTTTGTCTGTTTTGTTTACTATTGTATCCTCAGCACCTAAATATAGTAGGAACTTAAGACAAAGTTTCCAAAAATGAATGGTGCATAGTAGTTCCTCAACAGATGATTGTTGACTGGTCGAATAAGGGTGTAATATTTGCAATGGGCCTTGAGATAATGGTGGTTTTGAGGATTAGAGAAGGAGATCATTATAGGCTAGAAACAGCATGAACAAAGGCAGCTTGAGCAAAAGCAGAAAGCTTACTCAGAAAAGTGGCAGGTGCACTAGAGGACTGAGTAGGAAAGTTCGCAGAAACGTCCTTTGGGCTGTGGTGGAGGAGGGCCTTGCTCAGGCCAAGTTAGATGGTAGGTGGTAGGGAGCAGTGAGGGCCTCTTGGCAGGGGTGGAACGTGATCTGACTTGTTTTAGGAAAGTAACTTGGGCAGCAATATGAAGGATGAGAGGTTGCCGAAGAAAGAAACTAGAAACAGGAAGAGTTAGGTAATTGCAATAGCCTAATTGGGAGCTGAGGAGGGCTCTAGCTAGGGAAGTGGCAGTGGGGCCGGAGAGGAGGGGCCAGAGCAATGCATCTCAACTCTGACCCCATTAGAATCCACTGGGAAGCTGTTAGACTCATGAATGCCTGGACTCCATCCCCCAGAGATTCCAAGTGAATCGGTCCGTAATGGGGCCCCAGCAATCAGTATTTTTTAAAAGCTCCCCAGATG